GAACATCAATTAAATATTTTGCCTATCCTCTATTATCCCCATTATTCTTTTTATATCTTTTGCTGTTTCCTCTTTCTTTTCCACTTCCCCTGCTTTTGATCATCTCTAGTCTTCCTTGTGCTTTTATAATTTTGTCTTTATTTTCTGAAATATAATTCTTTAAAAGATTTTTCTTTAATATTGTGTAAGTTTTTTACTACAATATCTTATACAATCAATTCATAGAGAGAAAATTTTATTTTGGTTGATAGTTTTAGAGGTTTCAGTCCACAATCAGTTGCTTGGGGGTCTTTGGAGCAGCACATCGTGGTGGAAGTGTGTAGTACAGCAAAACCATTCAAGTCCTGGAGGGGAAACCAAAGAGAAAAAGAGGAAATTGTTCGAACTTTGTCATTCTTATAATCTATTCTTCCAAGAAGCAATGGCAGAGGGACTAGTGATATGTTTTGGGAGTGTTAACTAGCACAGAGATTCTGAAAAATTAATTATTTGCTTGATAAGTAAAAATATGCCCTGAAGACAAGAAAGGAAAGTGGGTCAAGCAGTCAGATACAAATTTTAGCTTGACAATTTCAGATCCAGGGAGAGATTAATATTGATAACTTTGAGAAAGGATTGGTTGCTATTTCCCTTATATTCAATGTGACTATAAAGGGGACTTCAAAAGGCACTCTAAAACAGGTTATTCCCTTTGTAGAACTCATTTGCTTTGTAAACCATTTGATTTTCAGTATTTCAAGTTAGGAGAAATCCACCTGTCCTAGTTATAGAGGATTTAAGATGTTCAATATCCATAGGTGCTTCTTCACAGTAAGAGGGACCATGCCTCTCAGAATGTATATAGCACTGTCTAAACCAAGGGGTGGGCAATTGTTCCCACACACAGGCCAAATGAGAGGCTCTCTTGCTTATATTTTACAAAAATCCCAGACAAACCAAATTATGTCCTGGGGGCCACATAAAAAAACATTTACTCAGTAAGTCTCCCTTCTCATGGTAAACACACTTTTTTTTTTTTTTTTTTTTTTTTAACATTTCAACCCGGCCATTGCAGATAAGATTCCATGTTTCAGCTTTGGGCTCCACTCTCTATTAAAGCTCCACTTAGCCCATCTTCACCAATCCCAACTTAACTTTAGGTTTATAGAGGGTGAATTCTGCCACTATTTTGGATGCTTTCCCCCAAGGTGAAGTGGATTTTTACTGCCAATCACCTCCTTGGTTCTAGCATCTTTACTGGATGTTGGGAAACAGTTAATTATTTCTACCAGTTTATAAGTATCCAGCTCAAGTCCTTATAAATGTAGGCTTGATAATTTTAAAAATTGCCCCTCCTTGGGAGGGGGGATAGTAGGGGATAGGAAAGGTAGCAGAATACAACAATTACTAATTGGGCATTATGTAAAATTGTGGATGTGTAACCGACGTGATTCTGCAATCTGCATTTGGGGTAAAATTGGGAGTTCATAACCCACTTCAATCTAATGTATGAAATATGATATGTCAAGAGCTTTGTAATGTTGTGAACAACCAATAAAAATTAAAAAAAAAAAATTGCCCCTCCTTTTTGCTGCCCCAGATGCTTTCTCCAGTTCATATTCATAGCTATCTTTTTTGTATTCATTCTCATTTTTTATTTTTTATTTTTTAAGAGAGAGTGAGAGAGGAGGGAGAGAGAGAGAGAGAGAGAGAGAGAGAGAGAGAGAGAGAGAGAGAGAGAATTTTTAATATTTATTTATTTATTTTTTTTTAGTTCTCGGCGGACACAACATCCTTGTTGGTATGTGGTGCTGAGGATCGAACCCGGGCCGCACGCATGCCAGGCGAGCGCGCTACCGCTGAGCCACATCTCCAGCCCTCATTCTCATTTTTTACTACATATTTTTAATTTATTCATATTATCCTTTGATAATCTGTTAATGCTTGATGCACATGTCTTGTCTTTCTCAAAAGTTTAAATTCCGTAAGTTTAAAAAATAGGTCCTTTATCTTCTGGTGCTAGACACAGGGGTAGCATATGAGAAATGCCTGATGTTTTGGTTGTTCTCCTGATTATAAGAAATGAAGGTTACAATTCCCTTAAGTAATGAAAGAGAGAACTGGAAATAATCCAGACAAGGTCAAACAGTCCATAGGAAGAGCAGGGCTTGTAACAGAATTAGATGATAGCATATTTCGTATTCCTCTATACTAGATGGTAGAATCAGGTATAGGAAACCAGACCTAAACTGGGGTACTCAAATTACTCATTAAAGGTATTTGAGAGCAGAAAGTAGCCAACAGTGATCAAGTGTGGTGAGCAAGCACACAAAAAAAACATAAGAGCAAATTGAGTATCTTTGAACTGTGGTCATCCTACTGAAACTAGTGCTGCCTATTAGGGAGTTTCTCTATTCTATAGACTTCATATTTGTGAGTTTACCTCACCAACATTCATGATTTTGTCTATCTTTAGACATGATTACAGAGTTGTCTTATTTTTGTTTTGACCATCATAATCATGGAGTAGCCTGTCTCATATAGATGTTCTCTGAGATATTTCTGACAGGAGATCATCAAGGCCTAATTGTCAGGCAAGTTCCTAACAACTTTGCTGATAGCACTAAGCCATTGACTGGATGTTAAGTATTGCCCTTTTTTCCCCTCAGAATATAGTGGTTAAAAACTTGGGCTTGACAGAACTGGGTTTGATTCCACACTACTCTTGAATATATGTGGAACCTGGGCAAAAATAATTTCTGTGTCTCAGTTTCCTTGAATGAATATAGGGAACAGTGCTTGCCTTGTTGTTGACAGAGATAATACAAGCCAAGAGCTTGTGTCAAATCTTAATTTTGTTATTATATCACAGGAAAAATTAAGAACAATATTAGGGCAAGAAAAGGAAAACCAAAGAATAATGTAACTGGTTCAGGAGTGCTAAAATGCAGTAAGAGTGARGAAAACATTTATATTTACACTGGATCACAAACTACATAAAGCTGTTAATTGTCCAGCTCATTTCCCAATGTCAGGATAATGCATTATACTCATGAAAACATGGTGAAACAGGGAAAAATGTGTAAACTTTACACCAAGTGAGTTGTCATTTGATTTTTAATTTTTTGTTTTTTAGTTGTAGACGGACACAGATACCGTTATTTTATTTATTTTTATGTGATGCTGAGGATCAAACCCAGTACCTCACACATGCTAGGCAAGTGCTCTACCACTGAGCTACAACCCCAGACTGTGATTTGTCACTTGAGTCCACACAGACATACTGGGAACAACAAAAACTATTATTTGTGCATATAACAGGAGGTAGGTTAGAATGTTGGGTAGAAGGGTGGATTGGATCTCTTTCAACTTCAATGTGCTATTGGTATATAATTTCTTTTTTTGCTTTCACATTTCTTATTTCTGGCTTTCTTCTTTCTGGCCCTTTTTGAATCACCTCACCTTGTTAAGCAATGTCACATCTAATTTCTCCAGTTGCTCAACAAGGCAATGTCTCTCTGGGTGTAACCAACTAGGGGAATACTCAGCCAATTAAGAGACTGAATAGAATGACACATACTGTAATAATTTATTTTGTTAAAACATAAGTTTTTGTCAGAAAGCACTAGAGACCCATTATTTTAAGACATTACAAAACTCTTCAAAACAATAGACAAAGTTTCATTTTAATAATCCAAGAAAGAGATTTCACAGCATAGGAATCATTAAGTGGAGTTCAGCATATTAAATGAAGGACTTGACTTCCTTCCTTGAGTCTCCTTCTGTTGCATCAAGGTATCTCAAATCAAGATAGAATCCTTTTATGGAAGCCATTCCATCAAAATTCCATTTTTTTCATTTTAAACCCAGGAGTGGATGGGCACTAAGTGGTGCTATTCACTTGTAAAGGTGAGAAAATAGGTAATAAGAAATGAGTAGGCTCTGACTTACAAGAAATAGATGACTACCTTCATTCGCAGTTTCAGAATGTTCTGGTGAACTCTCAAAAGAGCTCCCCTACCTCTTGGTTGGTTTATGAAATAGATTCAACTACAGCTTTGAATAACTATTAAAAATTAAAAATCTCTCATAAGTGGCTAGTTTTATATGTCATTTTTACTTTAATAAATTCTATAATAGAAAGAAGTACAAGTAATTATTAATTATGCATTTCATAATTTTGCCTAGAGTCCCAACCTGAAAGGTCACATGTAAAGATATATTAGAGACTTCTGTGACAAGAAAATAGAGGAAGTATCCATAACTTCACATGCTGGGTAAACACAACAACCCACAGATACTGCTAACCATCTAACCATATTTAAAGAGCAGGATTTAAAATCTCCTTTGAGTTCTGTAAAACTACAGTGTCTTGTTAACTTCAGCACAGTCAACTAGATGGATTTAATTCATTGTTTTGATGAATTAAAAAGTAGGCTGATGCCATATACTATATTTAGTCCATTTTAAAAAAGGACTAGATCAAAGTTAGCTTCTTTCAGGATGATTTCTTGGTTAGTGTGCCTATTTTCCCCCTGAGCCTTGTTAATAGTTATTACTCAGTTGCACCACCCTGATTATTTTGTATTTCAAAAAATATTGTGAACATTTGTTTCATGTTTATATTCTTTCTTGTATATATATATATATATATATATATATACATATATATATATATATTTTCATGTGTATTTTTTGACTTGCTAATTAGATCATAAAAGGAAAACTGGCACATTTGTGTAAGATGTCAGTTTATAAAGCCCTTTCATACCTGCCACCTCTTCTGATCTCAAAACAGGCATGATGGATTTATGGCCATCTTCATGGGATAGATGTTGACCAAAGAAACACAGCACTTATCTTCTTTGGTCCTCAAAACAACCTGGGGAGGCTACCCTCAGCCTCCTTTGGAAGCCCAGCCGCACATGACAGATGGCTCAGCTGCAGGCGGGGCTGGCCACGTGGGAGTGCACAGACCATATCCTCTTGCAGCTGCTCCGCAGGCTGAGCCTTCGCCCCGGGCTCTCATTTCCAACTCAGCCTCTCCCAGCGTCTGGCAAGCGCCTGGCCTTGCACTAAGTGAGCGCCGGGCGGCGAGGACGAACCGGGCAGGTCGGTACTCCCAGGCACTTCGAGGACAGGAAAGAGTAAAAGAAACCTCGAAACACCAACAAGCCAGGTCTCTCCTCACCCCATCGCTTGGTCACAAAGGCGAGCCCCGACGTGGACGGCTGAGTAGGCCCAGCTAGTCACTCCCCCGAGGGCAGCAGCTTAAGAAAAAAGGCTGAGGCCCCCGGGCGAAGAAGAACCGGAGAAACTGGCGACCGTCTTGCCTTCCCTAGGGCGAAGGTTCTAAATTCCCACGACCGTTACTCGGTGGCGCAACGGAGACTTCTGGGGGCCGCCAGGGTTGGAGCTCGGGCCGGAAGGCCGTGGTCCGCGCGTCCCCGGGTTTCGCGCCCCTCGCCTGACCTGATTGGACGGTGGGGGAAAGGGGGCGGAGAGACCCCAGGATGAGGCGCGCGCAGTCCTGCGGGGGTTCCCGCGGAGGCACCCGGGGGCGAAGGGCGGGAGCAGCAYCGTGGCACCGCGCCTGCGCACGTCGAGAAGTGACTGGCTGGGGGCTGCTGGGAGGGCGGCAGTTCGAGAAACGGGTGGGCGCAGGAGGGGGCCGCGGGTGCGCGTGCGCGCGTGCGCGTCGGAGCCGGAGCCGCGGGAGGAGGCGGGAGCTGAGGAGGCTGCGGAGGGGGCGGGTCGCGTCGGGCGCCACGTCCGCAGCCAGAGGCCGCCGCCGCCGACCGAGGCTTCAGGCTCCGCAGCTTGAGGGGAGCCTCGGGAGCCCGCAGCTGCCCAGGGCTGTGTCCGGCGCCTCTACCGCCCAGGCCACCTCAGCCCTCCCCGCTGCTTCCCGCTCCCTCCGCCCGGCCCCAGCCCCAGGCGCCGGCCCCGACCCCGGCGGTAAGTCAGCTGTGGGGCGGGGGGCGCCGCCCGGCTTCCTGCCCTCCTCGCTCTCCCTTCTTCCGTGAGCTCCCCTACACCTCCTCCTGCCTCCGGGCCGGGCCTCCCCGAGCCGGGCCTTTCGGGGTGACTGAGGGGGAAGGGGGAGGGGCGGGACGAAGTTGGGGGCTGGTGGAGGTTCCCCGGCGGGGTTACTCGGCTTTTGTATTTCTGACTCCCGGGCCGCGGTTGGAGGTTGGGGACTCCTCCGACTTCGTAATGTCCTGGGTGTCAGGGTGGGGGCGGGGGCCACCGCAGCCTGGAGAGGGACGCGGCTGAGGGTCTTGTGTGCTGTGCGCCCTCGCCCCGCTTCCTCCCGACCTGTTGATAAAGGACCCTCTTGGGTTCAAGTTCATAGGGCTTGGCTTCTTGTACTTGGACCTTCCCAGTGCTCTTCCCGGGTGGGAGGCTCCACTCCCCCGCCTAGCCTCGCCTAACCTGAACCTCCAAGTGTGGGAATGGAGAGGGGCGCCGAGGAGGACCTGGGGTGCTCTGGAGCACCCATCAGTGCTGTCCCTGTTGACCCCAGTCAACTGTCCCTGCCATGCACGCCCAGCTTAAGATTAGCCCCCAGGCTCACACTTCCAGTCACAGTTTCACTCCTAAACCCGTTTTACACAGAAATTCAGGAACCCTACTGGAGCGGGGGTCTTCTGGGGGTACAGAGTGAAGGCAAGGAAGGAGGTGCTGAGCTTAGCCCTAGCCAGGGCGCCTCCAGGGTCATTTTCTGCCTCTCCTGCCACGTCACTCTCTCTGCTAAAGAAAAAAAAAATTGCTAAGTGCCTAGAGGGATCAATGGGAGAAGGGACTGCCGGGAAGTGTTAGAAACACCTAGAGAAGAGGTTGGTTCTTTTTTGATTTATTGAGCCCTTGTGAACTCTGTGCCAATTCCAAATGAAAATAGGTACTGTGATTATTTATATATATTCTTGTTTAACCTTTAAAACTTGCACTGGTATGGGCGCTCTTAAAGACTGTCCAGGAATACTGATAATCAGACCAACAAGTACGTGGGTGTGTTCCCATGCCTGCTTTTTAAAAAGAAAGGGAGAAGTAACTTTAATAAATCTGTATGCATCCTGTTTTGCTTTTTCCAGTTTTCGTTGCTTAGGTCATTGTTATAACAAAAATACCAGAAACCGAGGAAAAATGTTTCCATAGTCAGCATCATTAGAAAAGTTTAATACTTCAGGCAAATACATATGCAGGTGTGTGTGTGTGTGTTAACTCAGGAAAATCTACTTTCTTTGTTTCATGTATTCAGTATTTGCTCTTTTCCTACTTCCTGAGGAATGTGCCTGGTTTATATATAAACACCTTAAGAGTAGAGCCTTTGTATTCTTGTTCAGCAACTAAGTGTTCCACACAGTTAGGGATGCAAATATCTGTTGAATTGATGAATATAATTTGGAGTAGATGATGATGTGTTGGTTGTCTTGTTTGACAAGAGTATTGCAGTTCTATTTAATGATTCATTTAAGGACAACATAATTAATGGACAGTGCTGTTTTGACACTGTCAGTTGTTACATGTCACTGTGTGTACACTTGTAAAGTTTTATTGACATTACTTTTTCTTTTTTGCTAGACTGATGCATTTCTTGTGGTCTTATTTATTGTTGATTAAGGGGTGGGGACACCTCTGTAAGCATAATGTTCAGAATAGTTGGTTAACTAAATAAGTTTAAAAACTACTAAACTGTTTAATGTACATGACTTGGTATATGTGTATGAGTCTCCTTGCATTTATTTGGCAGAGAAACTAAAACATGGGAGTGAGGATATGGCAGAGTTCCTCTCTATATACATACATGTAGAAGAACTTAGCTAATTTGTTTACAGTCTTTTTTTTATATATAGGAAAATCAGCACTTATTGTTTAATAACATTTGAAAGTGACTTCTAAGGTAAACTGTTGTGCACTGTATTTTTGTGTTTGAATGTTACAAAAAAGGTTAGTGTGATTTAACTTCCTTGGAATGTTAGAGGGGTGGTACTCACAGACAAATTTGTATACTGTTTTCATTATGAACAAAAAGTTTAAATTTACAAGATGTTTCTGAAACCCACAAAACATTGATTCATCTATTTTCCTTTTAAAAAACTAAAAGAAGCTTTCCAAGGGGCATTTGTTTACTTATTTCTATTATTGGAATAAATTACCCTCTAGGGAATAGTGCTGTTATTAATCTTTGCTTAATATTTTTGCCAGCTGTTGTATCTATGATACTGTTGTATGGGACAAGAATTATCCATTCTTCCTGCTTAAAGTAACTGCTAATGAATTTGCTGTCAGAGGTCTTTCACAGTTCAGTTTCTTCAAAATCCACTTATAATCAGTTTTAGTTGGTAGTGTAATAGTTTGTCATGTGTTAGAACCAAAAGATGGAATTGATTTATGTCCTTAGAATCAGTTACATCTTTATCCAGATCTAAAGGCTGTTAATCTGTCATTATACCTTCTTTAGGAAAGTATTTTTTTTTTTTTAAATAGAAACTTGGGTGCATTATGGGCTTCTAGAGAGCAGATACATTTTGTTTCTTGAATGAATGGTTCACTAAACTAGTAAGTGCCGGGCAGGGCATGTATTTCATTTTGATTGTAAACTTTGGCTCACAGTAATTTCTGTATTTACTTAATCAAATTGAAGTTTTAAATGTGTAACAGGATACGTGCCACATAGGAGGAGGGCTCAAATACATGTTGAATTAATGATTCAGTAACTTTAGGGCAGGGTTTATATAGAATTTAATGGTTTTATTGATTGTATCATTTAAGGGTAACATTTTTTTTKGGGGGGGTGGGTATTGGGAATTGAACTCAGGGGCACTCGACCACTGAGCCACATCCCAAGCCCTATTTTGTATTTTATTTAGAGACAGGGTCTTACTGACTTGTTTAGCGTCTCACTTTTACTGATGCTGTCTTTGAACTCTGGATCCTCCTGCCTCAGTCTCCTCAGCCTCTGGGATTACAGGCCTGGGCCATCGCACTAGCAAGGGTAACATTTTGAAATCATCATTTTTATACTTTTACTGTTAGTTGGTACTTAATCCACATGTATACTTTTAAATTTTATTAGCAGATTCTTTTTTTTAAGGGATTAGGGGTATGTTTGTGTTCACAATTCCCAATATAAGAAAACAGGTTTCTTGTAATGGTGATAATAAACAGAAGGGTAATTTTTACCCATGAGTTTTACTTTCTCCAGTTTACCTGTGTTATCTGTGGCTAACCATGGTCCAAAAATATTAAATGGAAAATTCCAGAAATAAAACATTCATAAATTTTAAAATTGCACACTGTTCTGAGTAGTATGATGGGATCATGCACTGTCCCACTCCGTCCTGCCTGGGACATGAATCATCTCTTTGTTCACTGTATCCATGCCGTATGTGCTACCACCTTTTAAGCACTTAATAGACTTTTGGGTTATCCCATTAATTATCATAGTGCTTGTATTCAAGTAATATTTTATTTTCCTTAATAATGGCTCAAAGCACAACAGTAGTAATGCTGGCAGTTCACATATGCTAAATAGAAGCTGGAAAGTGTTTCCTTTAAGTGAACAGGTGAAAGTACAATAAGATATTTTAATAGATGGCATATTAACATAATTTTATTACTTTACTTATTTATTATGTATTAAGGTATTTATAATACATTATTTTACTATTGTTAATCTATTACTGTTCCTAGAATATAAATTAAGCTTTATCATAGAAATGTATGTATAAATAGGAGAAAAATGTATTATATATAGGGTTTGTTATTATCTGTGGCTTCAGATATCCATTGGGGTGTTACAACATATCCCAAATGGATAAAGGGGCACAACTGTATAAAAAATATTTTTTCTTAGTAGAAAGTGGTGCTGTCCATAAAGAATTAATAGCTCTAAAAGTTTGGCACATATATGTGGGTAGAGGTTAGGCATAGTTTATATATGAAAAGTACAAATGATATTATAGATAATTAAGGATTTTAGCAAATACCTTTATAAGAATTCTGTTTTATCATACAATATGAAATGCAGAGGGAAAATCCCAAATAGCTGTGTCTTTTAGGCAATTTTTAGTACCCTAGAAGTTCAGGAGGAATTTTAATGCCACATACTTGCTACTAGGACCAGTGAAGGATCAGATGGGGTGGCACATACCTGTCATCCCAGTGACTTGGGAGACTGAGACTGGAGGTTCACAAGTTTTGGGCCAGTCTCTTGGTGAGACCTTGTCTCAGAGGATGGGGTAGCTCAGTGGTAGAGTGACTCTGGATTCAATCCTTGGCACTCCCTACCCTCACCCCTCACCCCCTCATTCCCCAAAAAAGATCTGTGATGTAGAAGAAACTCAGACATTAAAATAAAAACAAAAACCAGGCTATGTGACCTCTTAGGACTTCAAAGTTCCTCTAAATATCAAGTCTCTTTGTTGTCTAGTTAGACCTATGCCTGGCTTGGCAAGGCTCCTGATATATTTTTATTGTTTATTGATAATCCTATTGGTATTTCTTGGTAATAAATTTAATGGTCTTAAATTATTTTTCAGTTGTAGATGGACACAATACCTTTATTTTTATCATTTATTTTTTATGTGGTGCTGAGGATCGAACCTCACACATGCCTGGCAAGTGCTCTACCACTGAGCTACAACCCCAGCCCTTGCTAATAATTTTAAATGTAGCTGTGAATGTTTRTTTAATAGTATCTAATTTTCTGCATTTTAGATTAGAAATACTCCTAATCCAAGGGCAGACTGAACACATTGTGGGAGTAGAAATTCTGTTGGGCTGGCAGGGGAGTGCTGGCAAATCTGAAAGTGCGCTTTAAAGCAGCCCTGGGCAATAATGAAATTATTTGAAAGCCTGTTTATCTTAAGAAAAAGAAAATTCCCAAGTACTTTTAATTTTACTTTTTACTGTGTATTAAAAAAAACAAAAACAAACAGAATAACCAGGAGCTA